GAGGGAGGGAGGGAGGGAGGGAGGGGAGGAAGGGGAGGAGGAGGAGGAGGAGGAGGAGGAGGAGAAGGAGGAGGAGGAGGAGGGGATGGAGGAAGAGGAGGAGGAGGGAGGCGGCCGAGGGTAGGCGTCAGCCGGCCAGCTCATGTGCCCCTCACCCTCGGGGCCATTGCCGAATCCCAGCAGCGGGGGCAGCGCCAGAACGCCTCGCTTAACGGGGAGCCCGCGGGGCGGACGAGGAGGAAGAGGAAGAGGAGGCGGAAACGGAGGAAACTATTCTCCTCCTCCCCGATCCTCGTCGCCCAATCCTCCTCCTCCTCCTCCTCCTCCTCCTTTTCCTCCTCCTCCTCCTCCTCCTCCTGCTCCTGCTCCTCCTCCTCCCCCTCCTCCTACATTCCTTCTCCTTATAAACAACTCCTCCCTGTCGCACCGCGAGGCCAGTTTTAAGGGCGGGCCGGGCGTTTTGCCTGAAGCTCCCTCACCACGTATGACTCTGAGGGTTTAAAAGTGGCAACAGTGTCACAGATGGAGGGCGGGTCGTTTTCAAAATGTGGCTCTCGCTTTAGCGCCGCGCATATTCGTTTTAAACATTTGCAAGAACTTCACGGATTGAGGGCGGGTCATTTTCAAAATGTGGCTCTCGTCTTGGCGCCGCGCACATTCGCTTGAAAATGGTTGCAACAGTTTCACTGGTTGGGAACGGGTGGTTTTCAAAATGTGGCTCTCGCCTTAGCGCCGCGCACAATCGTTCTCAACATGTGCAAGAGTTTCACGGATTGAGGGCGGCTCATGTCCAAAATGTGGCTCTCGCCTTAGCGCCGCGCACATTCGTTTTAAACATGTGCGAGAGCTTCACGGATTGAGGGCGGCTCCGTTTCCAAAAGTGGCTCTCGCCTTAGCGCCGCGCACATTCGCTTTTAAATGTGCAAGCATTTCGCGGATTGAGGGCGGGTCGTTTTCCAACTGTGGCTCTCGCCTTAGCGCCGCGCACACCCTTTTTTAACGAAAAATAAAAACAGAAAGCAAGAGTTGTAAGGATTCCCCTGATCAACGCGGCAGAATAAGTGTTTTCGAAGGATTCAGGATTACGCGGGCGCAGCAGTTATGTTGATTCGCGGTGTTGAAGTCCCCAAAATGGCGTTCTGGCACGATTCTGGATCGTCAAGACGCGGCAGTCAGGTTGACACGTGGCGTTGACATCCCGAGAACTATGATTCGGCATGCTTCAGGATCTTCAAACTGTTGTCTTCCAACGAGGCAGTTCCCTCAATGGAAAAGAACCGATGTGGGGGCTTATGAAAAGGGAGCTTGGAGGGAGGGTTAATTCCAACATCGTTGATGACTCTTGGGTTTCCACTGGTCCTCCTCCTCCTCCTCCTCGTCCACGTCCTCGTCCTCGTCCTCGTCCTCGTCCTCATCCTCATCCTCATCATCACCATCAGAATCATCATCATCATCATCATCATCATCATCATCATCATCATCATCATCATCATCATCATAACAATCAGCAGCATCAGCATCAGCATCATCACCATCATCAGCAACATCAGCATCGTCATCATCATCGTCAGCATCAGCATAATCATCATCAGCAGCAGCGTCATCATCAGCATCATCATCAGCATCATCATCATCATCATCATCATCAGCATCATCATCATCATCATCATCATCATCATCATCATCATCATCATCTTCATCGTCACCATCACCATCATCATCATCATCATCAGCAGCATCAGCAGCATCCTCATCTTCATCATCATCAGCAGCAGCATCAGCATCATCATCATCATCAGCATCATCCTCATCATCAGTATGATCATCAAATTCCTCACAATCCTCATCACCATCCTCATCACCATCATCATCACCATCATCATCATCATCATCAGCAGCAGCAGCAGCATCACCATCATCACCGCCACCAACGCCGCCACCACCATCATCATCATCAGCATCAGCAACAATAACAACCACAAAATCATAAGCATCATCATAGTCGTCATTACAATCATCATCAACATACACATCATCGTCAACAACATCATCGTAATGCGCATCGTCGTCATCACCATCATAATGAGCATCATCATCATCAGCCGCATCATCATGATGAGCATCATCATCATCATCAGCGTCATCATGATCACCATCACCATTAGCATCAGCATCAGCATCAGCATCAGCATCCACATCATCACCAGCATCATCGTCATCATAATCAGCATCGTCAGCGTCATCATCATCATCAGCAGCATCATCATCATCGTCGTCAACATCATCGTTAGCATCATCGTCATCGTCATCGCCATCCTCATCGTCATTGACAGCATCGTCATCATCACCACCATCATCATCATCATCACCATCTTCGTACGTAATCATCACCGTCACCGTCATCGTCATCGCCATCGTTACCATTATCCTCCTCATCACCATCGTCATTCGTATTAGTGGCGGCGGATTCGTCTGCGGCATCGTCACCATCATCACCATCCGCATCATCATCATCATCATCATCATCAGAATAGTACGTACCAGCATAAGTATCACCACGAATCGGCATTATCATCATCAGCATCACCATCAACGTCATCAACGTCGCCAGCATCATCAACATCAACATCATCATCATCATCAGCATCATCATCATCATCATCATCATCCGCATCAGCATCAGCATCATCATAATCAGCAGCAGCAGCATCGTCATGACCATCATCGAAATCATCATCAGCATGATCGTCGTCGTCGTTGTCGTCTAGTCGCCGTTGACATCACTATCATCGTCATCATCATCGTCATCATCATCATCAGCATCGTCAGCATCATCGCGAGCATCAGCATAATCATCATCATCATCATCATCATCATCATCATCATCATCATCATCATCAGCGTCACCATCACCATCATCATCGTAAGCATCAGCATCATCCTCATCCTCATCATTATCATCATCATCCTCATCCGCGTCATCATCAGTATGATCATCATCATCATCACCACCATCATCATCATCATCATCATCGTCATCATCGTCATCAGCATCATCATCATCAGCATCATCATCATCATCATTATTAGGAGCATCGTATCCCCCACCATCCTCATAGTCATCCTCATCACCATCATCAGCATCATCGGCATCACCATCATCACCACCACCAACACCACCCCCATCAGCATTATCAATATCAACAACAATAACAACCACAACATCATCAGCCGCATCATCCTCATAATCGTCGTCATTATGATCATCATCATCATACATACATATCATCGTCAAGATCATCATTGTAATCCACATCGTCGTCAGCATCATCAGCATCGTCATCATCAGCATCATCAACGACATCAACATCATCATCACCAATGTCATCAGCCTCATGACTATCAACATCATCATCAGAATCGTCGGAATCATCACCAGCATGATCATCGTCGTCATCATCATCATACACATCATCATCAAGATCAACAACATCATCATCACCATCCGCATTATCATCATCAACAGCATCATCATCAACAGCATCATCATCAACAGCACCATCGCCATCATCGTTATCGTCATCATCATCATCAGCATCGTCATCAGCATCATCATCGGCATAGTCATCGCCATCGCCATCGTCATCATCATCGTCATCAACATCATGATCACCATCAACAATCATCGTCATCATCACCATCAACATGATCTTGATCATCATCAGCACCACCATTGCCACCGTCATCGTCATCAACACCATCAACACCACCACAATTCTCAATTACATCACCATTGCCAAGTTCGCCAATTACCACCATAATAATCAAGATACGCCATAATCGCTATATTCGTTGTCATCATCATCATCACCACCCACCACCACCACGATCATCATCATCATCATCATCATCAGCAGCAGCAGCATCATCAACATCAGCATCATCATCAGAATCATCAGCATCATCATAGACATCATCATCATCATCATCGGCATGAGCAGCAGCACCATCATCATTGTCCTAAACGCTGTGTCCACTTGCGCATCCTCACTACTGACGTAGGGGGTGCTGGTGGTTTCTCGGTGCCATGGCTGGCGCCCACTGTTTGCGTCATGGGCTACGGCCATGGGCTGTGTCATGGATGCCGCGGATTTAATCGGCGCCACAGGTGTTCCCCATTGGTTGCGCCATACATTGATGTGCACTGCTTTGACTTGATGTTGAAAAGCAATGGGTCGCATTGCTTTGTGTTGATGTCCATTACCTCGCATCGCGTTTATTGCTTCGCACGGCATTGCTTGGCATTGCATTGCATTGTGTTGCACTAGTTGCATCGCGCTGCATTGCTTTGCAATGCGCCAAACAGGCTGAGCTAATTCACCGTGTGGGGTCCACAATAGGATCATTTTGGGCAATCGGAAGGGCTCTGTCAGCATGACTGGACTCATCTCGGAACTGATCAGAATAACCCTCGCAAAAAAAAACGGAATCAACTTTTCAACAGATGTTCGCTGACGTAGAATAGGAGGGGAAGCTTTCTAGTGCGTCAGCCTATACGCCGACACCGATCCCAGCCACGCCGATCCTGGGCCAAGGATTGGTGAACACGCAGTCCCAGTCTGGCCAATGATGCGTATACACCGATCATGTCACAGGGAAGAGCGCAGCCAAGATGAATGTCGACGGGCATGTGACGCCTCCAAGGGAAGACGAGAAGAGCGAGGAGGATGAGGACGACGAAGACGACGACGATGGCGAGGACGAAGAGAACGGGGGGAGAAAGAGGGAGATGAAATAAAACGATCAAGGATGAGCAGGAGGGGGCGCCGGACGTGGAACGGCGGGAGTGGAAGATAAGGGAAAGGTAACCGGATGTGGGATGATGGTGCTACTGGCGGTGGTGATAATGCTAAATATGAAATGTTGAAAATCGTGGTGGGCACAATTATGATGTTGATGTTGGTGCTGATGGTGATGATGATAAGAATGATGATTATAGATGTGTCTTCCTCATGCCATGGAAATCATTTGCAGCCTGGGGGGCTACGGCGCTCATCTCGCAAGACAGAGCGGTCGCCACGAAGCAGGACTGTGCAGCAGCCAAGGTCAAAAGATTCGGAGGCGGGAGAAGGAGAGAGCCTTGAGCCGCACTGTGGCGGCATGCGCCATTACAACGAACAGACCACTCAGCATGCAGTTAAACGATCGAATGTCATTCTTGGTGTTATGGACATTACTTGCTGCCTGGGGGCGAGGGCGTTCATCTCGCCAGACAAAGCGGGCGCCACGAGACAGGATAGTGCAGCAGCCAAACTCGCGATACTCGTACCCAACATACTTGCACACCCTGGCCATCAGGAGAGCCGACCAACAGTTGTAACCATTGGCAGATTCGCAGGACCATCTAGCGGCACTCGCTTCGCGAAGGCCAAACGCAAATTTTATATACCAGTCAGCACCCCACTGGATGAAGTGTCGTGGACACTCATTCGCGCTATGTTCCCAAGGCATACCGTGACAATAGCCCCAGAAACACGTATATGAAATGATTCCCTGCCAGAGCATTTACCGCCTCGGCCAAAGCACCACGGATGGACAGAGAAGAGCGGGAACTGAGCAGCCCACGACCAAAACTTAGTCGGACGGGGATGGACGCCCCCATACTGGCAGAAGTTTAGTTCAGCTGGCCAGGTGGCCAGCGAGTGCGCATGCGTAAAGGAGGCCATGACGATTGAAGGGGTGCTGGCAAGAGACTCCAAGATTACAGGAGGTTCCAGACGGTGCCACGCGAGGATCATGATGGCCAACGAACCTCAGAAGCACCGAGAACGAGCGGATGGAGGCCCGGGCGAGGAGGCAGGCGAAGCCCAGCCGCCCAAGACAACCGACTCTCTAAGCCATCCCACGATCCTCTGGCGCACCGCGGGTCGAGACCAATCAAGAGCATGCTGCCTGTTGGGAACGAAGCAGATGGCAGCGAATCCATGGGATCGTCACTTACGAACAATGTGCTGCGCGGCGGCTCCAAGGCCGACGAACACAGAGCGACGCAAAACACAGGCGCCGCTCAGAGCGGCCGAGAGCTGCCGAGTCAGATAGCCGCCCGCCTGGTCGTCAAAGACGGCGTCTGCCGCCCATGAGAGGACGCGGCCTCTCTTTGCGGCACCGGCCACGGCCGCGGCTGGATCGGGGCAGCCGCCTCCAACAGCTTCACGAGACCCGCGCCCACCAATTGGCCGAACGTGAGCACGTCGTCGGGCAGGACGTTCAAGCGCTGCTGCAGCTTGGTCCGCTTGGCGCACCGACGAAGCGAGTAGTCCGTGACCCACCCGCCGCGGTCCGTCACGGCGCGGGGGGTCCGCCGCGGAGCAAGGAGGCGGTCCCTGGCCGCACCGCGCCGCAGCATGCAGTGAGAGAGCTGGGCCTCCGGCCCCCCACGAGCTCCGCCGCCCGGTTGAAGGCGTCGCGCACGTCGTGCCCGGCGAATTTCCACAGCGCCGCGCCGCCAGGTTTGGCGCGCTTCAGCGCCACCCACAGCGGCCACCACTCGACCTGGCCCAGCGCGACACTTTCGCTGGCGATGCCCGTCTTGCCGGGCCGCCCGCCCTCGCTCGCATTGAGGACCAAACCCTACTCGCCGTAGCCGCTCCCCGCCAGTGAGTGGGTTCGGCGGCACGAGCAAGCCGCCGCAGAGTCGACACGCCTCCGAAGGTCGGAGGTAGCCCGCGAAGGCGAGGACCACGAACAACGCGAAGGGCAGGCCGAGCGGGGTCGCAACGCCGACGATCGCCATGACAGCGAGGCGAGGAGTCGGCAGGCGCGTGCGCGGAGGCCTCGGCTTCCCCCATCCCCCGAAGGCCTTACGGGCCTTCGGCAGCGAGGCTCGCGGGGGGGGCCGAGCGACGACAACAGGCGACGCACCGTCGCCACCATGACACCCCCCCGTCGCCGCGTCGAAGCCGCCGGAGGCCAGGTGCGCCAGGGGGGCCGTCAAGATCAGGCCGAACCCCTGCGCACATGACTGCGTCAGCCCTGTTGAGCCTCTGGGCTCGGGCCGCGCATCGCCTGACGGCGGCGCCGCAGCCCCCGGGGAACTCGGGCGCCAGTTCGCCAGCTCTGAGAGCGACGCCTGCGGGACAAGCCGCCGTCGAGACAGCGCCATGGCTCGCGGCGGCCGCCCAGCGCGGTCACGCCCCCGACGGCCGCCCCCGCCCCGACCACGGCGACCGCGCGAAGAAGCCAGACCTCGACGGAGCATCGGGCGTGTCAAGCTCCGACGGCACCCAGCGCACGGAGGCCCTGCAGCCAGTGGCGAGCAGAAGCGAAGCAACGCGACACAGCGGCCCGGGGAGGCTGGCCGCGCGCACGAGGCCCTTTGCAGAATTGAGAGCTAGGAGCCAAATCCGCCGGCCCCCTTACGGGGGCATCAGGCTGCGCAGATTAGGCTTAGGCTTTCATGCTCCCTGCACCAGTTCCAGTTTCAAGTCTCCAATGTTATGACAGTCTTGCTTTCTGCTTCCTACTGCAAAGTGTTGCTGAACGCGCGAGGGGGGGAGCCCCCAACCAGCCTTTTCACCACGCCCAAATCGCATTGTTTGAACTCCTGGGGGGGGCGTGGGACACGTAAAAATACTTACAATTCGCGTCCCCGAGGCCATAATCCCAATTAAATTACACCAGATTCGCGTCCCCGAGGCCATAAACCCTAGTAAATTACACAAGATTCGCCATGATCTCTTGTAACTTATACCATATTCGCGTCCTCGAGGCCATCAACCTTTGTACATGACATAACAGCCGCGTCCCCGAAGCCATAAACCCGCGTACATTACGAATATTCGCGCCCCCGAAACCATAAGCCCAAGTAAATTAAAACATAGTCGCGTCCCCAAGGCCACAAACCCTTGTAAGTTCCGCGATGCTCGCGTATCCGAACCCACAAACCATGGTAAATTAAGGAATATTCGCGTTCCCGAGGCCGTGCAACATCGTAAAGTATACCATATTCGCGCCCTCGAAGCCATACACCCGCGTAAATTATGCCATGCTCGCGACCCCGAAGCCACACAACCTCATAAAGTACGCAAGAATTGCATCCTCGAGGCCATCGATCCTCGGCGCAGTTCTTCCGCTTTGCATTGCAGACTGTACAAAAAGATACTGGCCCTCGCGTGAAGTCCCGACACTGATTCACGTCAGCGTCCAGACATACCAACACAGCTCTGGCAAGTCCCGTTCTAAGAGAGAGGGGTCGGCGCCAGGGGACGAAGCCCTTACAGATTGTCCACGAAGAGAAGGAGGCGGTACCCCGCAAGGAAGCCGAGCGGATGAGGCGACGGAGGGCGAACTACAACGCGCCCCCCTCAGACTCCGAGTTGTTTTTCCCCTTCACGTGCACCCTGATAGAGTGGACCACCTTCCAATCGAGCTCCTTCGAGATATCCGCGGGGACCTCGGCGGGCCCAGAGAGCCCCACCCCGACGGTCTGGGCGCACTCGAAGTCGTCGACCTCGCCAGGACCCCGAGAACCTCTGAGACCCCCACGACCCGCGGGAAGCAGACGAGGCCCTCCAAGAACAGGACCCCCAGGGAGAGGAGCAGCCCACCCTGGACCGGGGCCTGGGACAGAGCATGTCTTTTAGGCGGCCCACCCTGGGACAGAGCATGTTTCTCTGCGATAGCCCCCCCCAGGTCGGAGCCTCTGGGGGGGGGGGCCTAGGCGCGAGACACGGCCGCGGCCTGCCCCAGACGATCCGCAAACATACGCGGCAGGCGCCCGCTCGCTCAGCAAGCGACAACACCGCCGCGCAAGGCACCGAAGGCGCCGGCGCAGCCACCTGGTTCCGACAGTGGCATCAGGAGGTCGATGCCGGCGCCAGCACTCGCAGCCTCGTCCTGCTGGCGGCAAAGTGTTGCCTCATCAGAGGCCAGGGGCACTGCAACGCGGGACTGCCCTGGTACGAGGTCTTGGGGTTCCACGACGACTTGCTGGAGGGGGTGGCGGAGGCCCGCTTCGCGTGGGGAAAGGAAGCCATGACGCAGTGTGGCGCATCATGTGCCAGAATATCGTCATCGTCATCTGACACCGTTGCCGCCTCCCCTCCTCCTCGTGCCTCACTGCATAGGCTCGAGCTCTTTCGTTAGCGCTTCACTGCTCCCTCTGGGGAATTGAAAAGGGGCACTTCACTCGTTCATTTGGCAGGTCGGGGCTCCCATCAACCTCCGAATCCCCACCTCTTCGATCTTTTTGGGAGGGATCACGGTCGGCCCGAGGGTGCGCCGAGCTATCCCGCCAGCACTCGCACCGCGGCCCAACACGCCGACAGCCGCCCAACCGAGCGCGCCGTCACGAGGAGGAGCCTCTCCACGCGGGGCCTGCCCGCGGAGGCCCTCAGCGCGCGCACATGATCGACCCACGAACCCGGAAAAGAATATAGAAATGTAACGCATGGCAGCGTTTTCAAAGACACCTGATTGGGTGACGGGCAAGTGCAATGCTGATTGTATCGATCTTGATGTACGGTGCCGAGGGCTGTGCTGTGCTGCACCGTACTGAATTGCGATGTGCCATGCCGCGGTCGTGCTCTCTAGCGTCGTGGATCGAGTCCTCCTTTGCATCCGAGTCCTGACCGAACTGATCTGGATCTTTCAGCTCGAGCTGCCTGAACACATAGTATCTGCCCCAGAGCTAATTGACAAGGGGACATGCCAGGAGGACGCGCCGCGGAACGTCTCAAGGGACGCGCCAGGCGACATGCCAGGGGACGTGCCATGGGGACGCACCGCGGGACGTGCCAAGGGGACGCGCTACGGAACGTGCTGGGGACAAGCGTTTCGCTCGAGACATCCTGTCAAAATCCTCAAGACATCCGCCCGAGCGACCTGAACACGTGAAAACAAACATTTCGCTCAACACATCCTCAACACATTCTCATGCTAGGCATCCGCCTGGGCGAACTGGACACGTGAAAACCAAGTACTTCGATCGAGACATCCTCAGCACATCTTCATGTGATACGTCCGCCTGGGTGACCTGGGCACGTGAAAACAAGCGTTTCGCTCGAGACGTTTTCAACACCTCCTCATTCTAGACATCCGCCTTGGCGACCTGTACACGTGAAAGCAAACGTCTCACTCGAGACATCCTCAACACATCTTCATGTTAGACATCCGCCTGGGCGACCTGGACACGTGAAAACAAGCGTATCTCTCGAGACATTCTCAACACATCCTCATGCTAGGCATCCGCCTGGGCAACCTGGACACGTGCAAACAAGCATCTCGATCGAGACTTCCTCAACACCTCCTCATTCTAGACATCCGCCTGGGCGACGAGGACGCGTGAAACCAAGCGTCTCGCTCGAGACATCCTCAACAAATCCTGGCGCTTGACCTCTGCCTGGGCAACCTGGAGGCGTGAAACCAAGCGTCTCGCTCGAGAAATCCTCAAGACCTGGGCACGTGAAACCAAGCATTTCACTTGAGAGATCCTCTAAATTCTGGCCCCCAGGACAGGACAATCTATAACACAAAACAAGCGTTTCGCTCGAGACATCCTCAACAAATTCTGAACAACAAGCGTTTCGCTCGAGACATCCTCAAATGTTCATTCGCCGGCCCTCTTCCCACTCGTTATGTATCGCATAAGAAAATCTGCCAGCCCTCTTCCCGTCAGATCCGGGGGTAAACAGCTGAGGAGAACCCTGGGCATGCGCCCTTTCCGGGAAAAAAGTTGAACACCGGAAAGGGGCCAACGACACACTCGGGTCGGACGAAGAGGACAGTGAGGGGCGGATTAGCGAATCAGCTCACGTGGCTGGTTTTCACGAAGCCTCCTGGCGCCAGAGGCGCCCATGTATCGAGGAATGCGCCCGTCGGCGGGGCCGAAACCAGCTGCACGCAGCAAATTTCGTACCCCCCCCTTTCGTCCGACCCGGCACATCTGCACCGACCCTGGCCAGGCCCATCCTGGGCCCAGGATCGGTGTACATCACGAGCGGCGAACGTATCCATATCCACGCCCTCGCGGTCCGGATTCCAGAGCGCGATCCCGCGGATACGAGGTCGTACGGATACATTCGGCGCGGGGCATCCCCGAAAGGACGCCCCGTACCCGCGGGGTCACGGCCCAGGGGCCTGGCCCGCGGGGCCGTAGATGCGGATATGTCGTTCGCCCACGAGTACACGCCCTCCAAGCTTGGCCGCGAAGGCACGTGCACCGATCCTGGGCCAAGGATCGGCCCGCATGAACAGCAATTGGGAGCCAGGGGACTCGCGCGGCTCGGGGCGGCGCGCCCAGCTGGAGAAGAGGAGGGGGCAGGGAGGGCGGGACTCGGGCGGGGGAGGGGCCAGGGGGCAACAAGGCGGGGAAGAGACATCGGAGGCCGCCCAAATGGGACCAGAGTAGGCAGGGTCGGGGGATCGCGCCGCATCGCCGATGCCAACGTCGGAGTGGAGAGAACCAGGCTCTGAATCGCGCCACATAGCCGATGCACTGGCGATGCGGCTAGATCCAGTGGCTCCATCTCTTGCTGCCCAAGCCCGGCGGCCTGAAGGGAAGGGGCGCGGTGATCATCGCGTCTGGGCGGTATTTTCCGCCATGTGGCCAGCAGACGGATCGGAACGCTCTCCCTCCCTGCCCGCTCAGCCAAGAATCGCTGTGCGTCCGAGGTCACACAAAGAAAGCTGCGGAATCTGCACTGAAAGAAGTGCGAACCACAGTCTTGAAACTCTCTGGATGGCGTGCCCCCATCACGGTGCTATAGACCGTGCCTGGGTTAAGAGGTGGCCTCTCTCCTGCCGAGGTATTCACGCGCCTGGTGGAGATAACCTCCCACAGGGTGGCCGCAGTGATGTTATCCTGGCCGGTTGCGTCCATTGCGCGGATCAGAGGGTGTCTCCGGTCATCACCAGTGCCCGGCTGCTTATCATGATCATAGTTGGTCTCAACTAAGTACCAACGCCCAGCACGAACATTCAGTTTCCAAGCATCGGCGACACTATCACGGTTTCGCGTAATGACTGCACCTTCGCCCGCCCTGACGCCGCCAAGAATAAAATACGAGGCTGACGACAACTTCGCCGTGCTAAAAAACGTCACGGCATCATCAAAAGAAGACACTGTATCCATAGCCTCCCGTATCTGGGAGAACGTAGCCACACGGCCCCTGACAATCATGTCAAACAGGTTCTCGGCGATGCTTCCTTGGTCGCGCTCATCGTGAGTGAGGGAGAAAGACCCATACCTGACAGCGGTGTTGAAATTCGGGATCGGGCCGAATGTCACAGCGGTAAAATGCTGCGATCCGTTGCGCATGAAGTCGACGACGAGGGTGGTTTTCGCCAGCTTCTCCGCAAAATCATAATCCAGATTCCGACCATGAAGGATGTCACCCGAGGTCGTCTGGGCGATGACGCCCGTGCACGCCTTCTCCTGACGCGCGCGCAGGGCTGAGGCAGACGACGCTCTGGCTATGCTTCTGCGGATGCGCTTGGGTGGCTGCACAGAACGCTCCTGCTTGCAAGCGTAAGGCCATGGGGGCCGAGGAGCAACGACACAATCCTGTACGAGTCCTAGGTCACCGAACTTCACGCTTCGGGGCAGGGATATGCGGTTAGATTCGCGCTCTCGCGCGGACTCCTGGAGAAGAACACCCCTCCCAGCCCAGGTCGCGACGCGCGAAGCGCATTACCTTCGCGCCGCTGCCAACGACATAAAGATCAAACACAACCTAGATCAACGGATACAAGTTCACGTCGATTCGTTTGCCTGGGCAGGAGCTCACCTCTCGGAAATTAGCAAGCCTGACGGGATCTCGACATACACTTGTCCACGCCCAAGGAGAGAGAAAAACTATCGAAACTCCCTCGATAGAGGGTTGTATACTATATGCTTACTCCCTCTAGACACCATCCAGACAATGTATCAAACAGAATCCAGCCGTGGCGACAAAGAAGGCTCTTTGCGGCGGATATAAGACATAAGAAGGTGCGTGCAAAGAGAAGTAGGCATGCACCCCAAATCGAATTGGACCTGCCTCGACCGATCTCTCGGGCTGGGTCAAAATTCCTGGCGCGTAGCTTCGCGCGACCTCGCGCTAGACTTGCAAAGCACGGAGTAGTCCCCCGCTCCCCCTCAAAACACCCGATCCCCAGGCCCTCTCCACTCCTCCCTCCTCTCCGCCCCCAGTTTCACCTCATGTTTCCACTCCCTTTCCCCCTTGCACCACCCCCCAGGCCCCCTCTCCTGAGTCCCCATCCCTCGCCGAGGGGCGGAGTTACCTCCATCGCCTTTCGCCTACGCTGGCCCATCCAGCACGGACAGGCAACTAACTCTGCTCTTTCGTGACCGCGCGCGCCATCAGTAAAATACAGTCTCGGCGGCGGGCCAACGGGGAAGTGAGAGGGGCAGGCAATCTCAAAAGCGGCGGGGCTTCTCAGAAGCGCTCCGGCCTCCAGAGAAGCCCTCTGTGGCTTCGGTGAAGGCCCAGAAAGCTTCTCAAAACGCTGGAGCCCCTCTGAACTCCTGAGAATGTCCGCCCCCTCCGCCTTCCCCCTGGGCGCGCAGCCGCCTCCTGCTTCCAGTCAGAATCAGACACGGTGACGCAGGAGGCCGAGTCCGCCGAATCGAGCCGGACGCAGCGCGAAGAGGGGGCGGCTACCCGATAGCCAGAGAGTGAGCGCATGAACCTGGGCCGTAGGAGGACGCCAAGTGTACACATGCACCGATCCTGGCCAGGCCATTCCTGGGCCCAAGATCGGTGCATATGATAAGACGACGCCAACACCTGGACAAAATCGAACCTGGATGAATTGGGGATCTCGGAGATCCCGCGGTTCTGGAGGATGCACCGGGCAGCGCGGCCGCTCCAGAGCGCTCTGAGAGCGTTCTGAGAGCGCTCCGGAGCGATGCATCGAAGTCCTGGGCCTGCCGGGCACGCCCTCCTGGCTTTGCGAGGAAGCCACGTTCACGGATCAGCCGTGGAGACCCAGCCTGCGAGCTTCTGCTCTACTTGTGGAATCCACAGCACGGACAGCAAAGCAACAGCCAAACCAGCTCACAGCTTACCGGGACGCGACGGGACACGAGCGCGCACTCGCGGGCGCAGCACGCGGGGGCGCGCAAGCCGACGAGCGCGCGGGCAGAGCGGAGCGGACGCGCAGACGATCCCGGGCCCAGGATCGGCCTGGCAAAGATCGGTGCAGGCGCGCAGCTGGCGCCCGCTGAAGACCACCTGGCCGACTTCGCGCAGCTCCGCGCAGCGCCACTCACTGCCCTCGGCGCCCTCGCACCTGCCGCGCAGACGCAACGAGCCGGCCAGCCTCGGCCTGCCGCACGCAAGAGAGTGGCCCCCCTGCGCAGGGGGGGGGGGCCTGCTTCGGTGCGCGGCGTGAGTCGGGGGGGGGCACGGCGGGAGCCACGGGCCAGCCCTGAGGGGCAAAGATTCGCGTGTCGCTGGAAGTATCCCTGGCCCAAAGTGCCCCTGCCCCTGGGATTCCACAGGGGGGCCCAGACGGCCTCCAGAGCACCCCTCGCGAGGCCCAGAGGGCCCCAGGGGCTCCAGAAGGCGCGAAACCTCGGGACACCATGGGCCAGGACCACTTCTAGCAACACCTGAACGTTAGGGACTGGCTCAGGGGGGGCAGCATCGAGCTGGAATCGGCCTTACATCATCGATAGATCGGCGACAGGCCCCCGATAGCAAAACTGCACGCTCCTGGGCGGGGCGTAAAAAATGATCGGCCCCATGTCGGCGATCAGTGGGCGGCTGGGGGCTCGCCCGTCCTGTTGGGCGAGTGGGCGATTGGGCGAGTGGTGGGCGGTCGGGCGAGTGGTGGGCGATCGGGCGAGTGGGCTCTCCTCCATGTCGGCGATGACTGGGCAATTGGGCGAGTGGTCGGTGTATTCCCCTTGGGCTCTCCCCCCACAACGTTGCCCCTGACGTGCTGCGGGGACCCCTGAAGGCCTGCGCCAAAGGGTCACCGAGGGCACGGGGCAAAGGGTCACTGAGGACAGCTATCCAGCCCAGGCCGCGAGGCAGGAAGCGGGCGGACCGACCCTCTTCGCGCCACCGCGGGTGGCCAGGGCAGGATCGGCAAGCACCGAATCGGGACATCGGACCGTCCGAATTGGAACGCGCGGCGGATCGGGCCGCACCGGCAGGGAGCCAAGACTGGACTAGATCGACTACGCCAGGATGCACAAGGGCGCCGTGTAAGCGATCGGGCCGCATCGCACCGCCCGCGTGCCGGGACCGAATCGGAAAGGGCCATACGCATTCGACATCGAACAGAAACAGTATCGGATCGAGCTGGACTCTGCCAGGGGCCGCCCGCCCCGAGTACGACAGTGATACATCTGGCCCGCGACCTGTCCGCGACTGCTCCCACACGCCGAGCCAGGCACCCAGGTTCGGGCCAAAGACTGCCATCGCGGGTCCGGCGCCATGGCAGCGATTCCAACATGGATTCGCCACTGGGTCTCTGGGCACGGAGTGGGCGTGTCTCTCTAAGCCTACCTGGAAGGCTCTTAGGGGCCCGGAGCCCAAATTGCCAAATTTGGTGGCACTTGGCGCGTCTTGTTGGGGGCTTGTCGCGTCTTCTCGCGTGACCTTCTTCGGGCCCAAGAGGGGCAAAAGACGGGCCAAGAGGGTCTCAAGAGGTCCTCCAAAAAGCACAGAAGGGCCCCGACACGCTCCAAGATCGTCCCAAGACGCCTAAGATGGCCCCAAGACGGCCCAAGAAGCTTCTAGATGACCCAAGAGGCCTCCAAGAGGTTTCCCAAAAGGGTCCCATGAGGCCAAAATTCATTGATATTACAATGATGTTTGAAGGATTTGGATGTTTTTTGGTCTGCTTTCCGACGCTCCAGGCCCAAGAGGCCTCCAAGGCCACCCCAAGACGGCCAAGTGGCCTCCAAGAGGGCCCCGAGACGGCCTGAGAGCGCCCCAAGACGGACCAAGAGGCGCCCAAGACGGCCCAAGAGGGCCCCAAGACGGCCACCAAGAGGACCCAAGAGAGGGAACACGAACCAAAAATCCGAGTCCGCCCCAAGAGGTTCCCAAGATGCCCATAGAGGCGCCCAAGAGGCCCCAAGAGGCCTCCAAGAGGCCCCCAAGAGGTTCCAAGAGGCCCCAAAACGGCCCCCAAGAGGCATCCAGACTACCATTTAGTCCCCCACGAGATCCCAACGAATATCCAACAGACTCAATACTCACAAACCAGGCACGGTGGCGGGATGGGCCGAAGGCCATTAGATCCGCCGCCCCCTGTGGTCTCGCCACAGGGGTGCACGGCGTGCTGGATGTTTCAGGTTTTAGTTTTGGTTCTTTTTCTAAAAGAACTCCCCAGTGGGCTTCGGCCCGTCCCGCCGGCCACCCGCAAGTTTCCGAAAATCCATCTGTCAATGCCGTTGTTGCCCCAACTTGGCCCAAGATGGCCTCCAAGACGGCCAAGATGGCCCAAGATGGCCTCCAAGATGCTTCCAAGACGGCCAAGATGGCCTCCAAGACGGGTACGATGGCTCCAAGATGCACCCAAGACGGCCCAAGATGGCCTCAAGATGGTCTAAGACGGCCCAAAAGGCCCGCAAAAGGCCTCCAAGACGACCCAAGAGCCCTCCAAGACGCCCTCCAGGAAGGCCCGAATAGGTTAAAATCATTGAGTTTCCTTAGGTTTTTCCAGGATTTTGGCATGTTCTTCTTTTCGGCTCTCCGACGGCCCAAGACGGCCCAAGAGGTCCCCAACATCGCCCCAACAGCACCCAAGAGGCCTCCAAGATGGCCCCATGACGGCCCAAGAGGCCCCCAAGAAGGCCCCAAGAGGGCCTCAAGACGGCCCAAGAGGCCTCCAAGACGCCCAAGATGGCCTCCAAGACGGCCAAGATGGCCCAAGACGACCTCCAAGACGGCCCAAGAGAGTCCAAGACGGCCCAAGACGGCCCCCCAGAGGCCTCCCAGACGGCCCAAGAGGCCTCCAAGAGGTCCTCCAGGAGGGCCCGAAGAGGCCAAGATCATTGATGTTCCTTAGGTTTTTGAAGGAGTTTGGCATTTGCGCCTTTTCGGCTTTCCGACGGCTCAAGACGGCCCAAGAGGCCCCCAAGATCGCCCAAGAGGCCCCCAAGATGGCCCCATGACGGCCCAAGTGGCCTCCAAGACGGCCCCAAGAGGGCCCCAAGACGGCCCAAGAGGCCTCCAACACGCCCAAGATGGCCTCCAAGACGCCCAAGATGGCCTCCAAGACGGCTCTGGAGCATTCCAAGAGGGCCCCAAATCGGCCCATAAGAGGCCCCCCAAACGGCTTCCGACGGCGTCAGACGTGGCAGGAACCCACCAAGATGGCCGAAGTTGGCTCGCAGCTGGCCCAAGACGGTCCAAGAGGCCCCCGGAGGCCAAAAACATTGATTTTCCGGCGGTTTCTGACGGATTTTGACAT